TGTCTTCTCTCTTGCTTGGTCTAAATCATAGTGCTTTTCAGCCCCGTCATGGCAACGTTACTTTCTCCTTTCTAACTAGGGCAAAGTGAAGGCACACACACTGTTTTGGTGCATCGTCTTAGCTTTTGTATCACCATGGTTCTGGTTAAACCACGTTAGATAATGGCCAAAGTCTTCTTGCAGGGCTCCAGCTCAGCATTCCCTCCTATAATTTTACAAGTCACTTGTGGGTTTAATATGTTTGTGCCATTCTTTGTAGCAACAACTGCTGTGTAATTTTGCCTTGCTTCTACTCTGTTACTAGCACCAGGCTCCTCTAAAGGGTTGCACATTACAAAAGAAGAGGGACCAGTGCACGCTCACGCAGCCTTTGCCTACTACCCTCATACTGACCAGTTCTGGACACTTGAGACACAGCTACTGAGTAGTGTTTTTAAATAGAGATGCTTTGTCTGCTGATTGATTTCTGTCAGCTCTGCTTTCCTCAAGTGTAACAGGCTCCCCAGTGCTTCAGACACCAAACCCAAAGCCTGCTTTTCATAAGCTCCCCTGTTAGCCGTACTCTAGTTCACACTGATGAAGGGAATGGCAACCTCTCCCATCTTCAGTCCAGACCGACTCCTTGACACTCATCTAGCTCTGTCACAGACCACATCCTGAAGGTGGTGTCACTCAGTGACTCCTGAGCACGGAAATAAACACAAGGTCACTGAGGGAGTTAAAATAAAAATTGAGAATTTAAATCTACTTACTTTATAAGAATAAATACATCGGTTGGAGAGGTGGCTCTGCTGTTAAGAGCACTGACTGCTCTTCCAGAGGTCTTGAGTTCAATTCCCAGCACCCACAGGGTGGCTCAAACCATCTATAATGAGATCTGATGCCCTCTTCTGGTGGGAAGACATACTATATACATAACATTAAATCTTAAAAAAAAAAAAAAGAGTAAACACATCAGGTAGCTTCTAATGCAAGAAGTAAGTTGGAGGGTCACAAAAAAGGTGACCACCGTTCCACGTTTGCAAGATAGAAAAGATTCTCACTTGAATTTTATACCAGTTTGACAAAAGGAATTTAATTTCCAGATGTTGTTTATTCTCCTATATAGCAAAAAACAAACAAACAAACAAACAAAAACAAAAACCCGCAAACAAAATCAGCAAACAAAAACCTAGAGATGAAAACGTTATCTTTCTCCAGCAAAGCATTCACCATGAACTTCTCTTCTTGTCTCCTTTGATCTAAATACTTAGAACTTGGGAGTTTGTTGGACTTCCCAAAGAGCTCCATCTTCCATGCATTGGGGATGTGGTAGAGATCATTACAGGCCCAGAAAAAAGGAAGGGGTTTGAAAGGAAACAGCAAACAATGCTACCAGGTTCTACTAATGTCAAGGAAAATAAAAAGTAAGCGCTGAACAGCCCTGGGTGTTAGTGACTCCTGCTTACTCAGCTCTGCTGGTGAACCAGCCCGTGTTAACCTGAAAACAAAGCTTGTGGTGCACCTGCTGGAGGAAGTACGGTGAGCACAACCCCCCCACACACACAAAAGAAAAGATTCACAATGACCAAGCAACCAAGTTCTTCCGGTTTGTATTCCTTCCTTTGCATGCAGAATAAATTTAGAAGATTACATTTCTCTTTCCCCCCATTCCACCCCAAGCTGTGGTGTTATAGCAACAGTATCATTAAGTAAAATATGTAAGGCATTTAAATCATATAAATCATGCACAAACACATAAAAGAATTTAAATTACCTGTAATATGGAAGAGTAAAGAATTTAAACGGCAGCATCCTGGTTCTCCCCTCAACCTCGTCGTTGTTTGTTTTGAAATAGGTTTCTCATTATGTAGCTCAGGCTACCACTGAATTCCTGATCCTCCTTGCTTGGGCCTGCTGAGTGGCGGGATTGTAGGTGTGTGCTGCCGTATCTGGTCAAAGGGTCTAGGTTTGGATCAGGGCTCACTGGGAATTTTCAACAAGTCACTTAACTGAGTTGCTAATAGTTGCTATGAGTTTAAACACGTACCTCTCAGGAACATAATGTGTTATGGGATATTTGTACACTGTGTGAAGATGTGTATCGTGGTTGATTTACTAAAGAGATAAATGATCAATAGGTAGGCAGGAGAGAAGAGGCTGGGCCTGGGAGGAGGGAGAGAGAGAGACTGAGTGTTAGTATCTGGTTCAGCAAGAGAAGCCAGCAAGACACCCATCTAGAATGGAGGGAGGGGAGGTCAAAAAGCCACGTGGCAGAAGGTAGATTAATAGAGGCAGGTTAATTTAAGTTACAGGAGCTAGTTGGGAACAAGCCTAAGCAAAAGGACAAGCTTTCACAATTAATAATAAGTCTCCGTGTCATCACTTGGGGACTGGTGGTCCAAAGGAAGTCTTGTTACAACAGTGTGACGGCTGCTGTATGCTCATGTTCTGAACCTGCCAACCCGTGATATCCAGGCTGTGGCAGGAGAACAGACTTTGTGTGTGTGTCTACCAGGCGTTTTCTCTTGGGCCACCAACCAGTTACAAACCATGACACAGAGGCTTATTAGTAGTTATGAATGCTTGGTCCAGCTTAGACTCCTTTCTAGCTTGCTCTTTTAACTTTTTAACCTGTTTCTCTTTATCTGCCTTCTGCCTTTTACCTTTCTTCCTTCTGCATGCCATATATTTTACTGCTTCTTGTGTCTGGCTGGCAGCTGCCTGGCTGACCCTGGGCATGCCCTTGTCCTCCCCGTTCTCTCTTCTCTTTCTCTCTGCCCACCAACCCTGCCTATCCTTTCTCTGCCTAGCTATTCGTCTTTCAGCTCTTCATTAGACCAACCAGGTGCCTTAAGCAGGCAAGGCAAAATAGATACACCCCGTCTTTACACAGTTAACAAATGCAGCAGGCACAAATGGGACACACCTTTGCACAGTTAAAGTAAGAGTCCACAGTGGAAACAAATGTAACACATCTTTGCCTGATTCAATAAATACACCACACCACTCTCGAGCTAGAGGTGTAGGAATGATGGTAAGGCCCTGGTTTACGTCCCAGTGCCACAAAGAATAATTCCCACTTCCTAAGAATTTACTGTAAGCCAAGTGCTGAACTAAGAATTCCTCGGACCTTCCCTTATTAACTCATCACACCTACCCGATGCAGGAAATATTATTTGGGAAAATGGGAGAAGCATAGATCTATACAGAAGCATATAGATCTATTACAGCTATCGACAGTCCTGTGATAGTTGAAGTTACCGTCTTCCTGCTTTGGAGAAAGTGAAACTGAAATTCAGGTAAAATAACACAGATGGTACTTGTTGATGCGAGATTTAGAAGCTGATATTTCTGAACAGCATGCTGTATTAATATAAACTGGTAGAGAAGAGTGGCTGCAAAGATGGCTCTGTGGTTAAGAGAGCTCACTACTCTTGCAGAGGACCGGGATTCAGTTCCCAGCATCCACGTGGAGGATCTCTCCTCTGGCCCCCAGAGGCCCTGAACACATATGGTGCGCACAAACTCATGGAGGCAAACATACACAAGCATAAAGATTTTTTATTTGGGCCTTTTTCTCTTCTTTTTCTCTCTACACAGTTCTGGCTGTCCTGGAATATATATATATATATATATATATATATATATATATATATACACACACACACACACACACACACACACACTAGGCTGGCCTTAAATTCACAGAGATCTATCTGCCTCTGGCTCCAAAGTGCTGGCCTCAAAGACATAAGTTAATCAGATTTTTTAAAAAAAGATCCTAGGGGCTGGAGAGATGGCTCAGCAGTTAAGAACACTTGACTGTTCTTCCCGAGGACCCGGGTTCAATTCCCAGCACCCACATGGCAGTTCACAACTGTCTGAAAATCCAGTTCCAGCGATCTGACACCCTTACACCAATGCACATAAAATAAAGTTAAATAAACCATAGAAATTTAAATAAATAAATAAATAAAGATCCTAGGAAAGAGAGAGAACTAACAGTTTAGGGAATATGACCACTAAATTTTAACCAAGTATTGTTTACACAGACTTAAGAGAATACATAAAAAGTGAAATACAATATCTCAGCAAATTCAGCAGAAGAGGCAGGTGTTTCTATGTATGAAGTAGGTCATGTTAGGCCTGGCTTCCGGGATAACCCTGTTTTCATCCACGGACTCTTGTTCATTGGGCTCACAAATATTTAATCCACTTCAGCCTCACCTTCTCTGGATCGTCTTATCTTGTCTTCCCTATTTCTTACAAGTTTACCAACTCCGATTCGTTTTTCCCTTTAGAAGATTTTGCCCCCTTACAATGAAAACCTCAAGTGGTTCTAACATACCTGACCCATGTCAACAGAAGTGAACGTTTCTTGAATGAAGCTTTATAAACGGTCCATTTGATAGGATATCCAGTCTACACCCCAAGGGGATGGAGAAGAATCACAGCCTGTAAGAGTGTGGGTGATAAAGTTTTCTCTGTCATCATCTGCTCTTTTTGCTTATCTGGAAACTAACCGCCCTTTGGTAGTCTTATTATTTAACGTTTCGTGGGCTTAGGCCTATAGGCTTCTGAAAGGGAAAGATAGTGTATTCTCTGACTTCATACAGTACCAGCAAATAGAGTCACCAGTTCGGGAGAAAGATTCTTGAGCAAAGCAAAACAAAAGCACAGCAGGGCGCGGGGAAGGGGACGCCGGCACGTGCCCACCCGCCTAGGAGACATAAAACCAAGCGGGCCCTCTAAGATGGATCTCGGGCTGTCTAATCAGGAGGCCGTGCCGAGAGCCGCAGCGCGGCAGCCATTGGCTGGGGAGCGCTTCCCGGGGGCCGTGAACTCTCCGGAGGCGCCGGCGCCGTAGGCCGCGCGCCGCGCTCTGGCCGGCAGGGGGCGCCCTTCCGCGCGCTGCGCTCCCCGCGGCGCCTCCCGCCCGCGCCCCGCTCGCCCGGCGCCACGCCCGCCGCAGGCCGAGGGCCAGTCACCCGCGGGCCTGCGCCCCGCCGGCCCTCCGCGCCCCGCCCCTGGGCCGCCGCGGGACGAGTAACGGTTACGAAGCACTTTCTCGGCTTCGGTTTCTGCTTAGTCATTGTCTTCCAGGAAACAGCTCCCTCCTGGCGGCGGTGGCCGCCGAAGCCGCAGCGGCCCTCCGCGCCAGCGCCTCCCTCCGGGACCGCCTCTCGGTCGCCGCCCGGCCTCCTCGGGCCCGAGCGCACACACCGGGCTGTGGCCGCGCGGAGTCGGCAGCCTCGCGCTCGCCTCTCGGGCCTGGGACACCGCGCCCTGCGTGGCCTCCGTCTTCCCAGCCCGCCCCGTCCGTGGCCCCGTCGCTCTCCGGTCTCCCCCACCACCCCCTTCAAGGCGGCAGCTGCCATGGGCACCGACAGCCGCGCGGCCGGGGCGCTCCTGGCGCGGGCCAGCACTCTGCACCTGCAGACGGGGAACCTGCTCAACTGGGGCCGCCTGCGGAAAAAGTGCCCGTCCACGCACAGCGAGGAGGTGAGCGCGATGGCCGGGCCCCGGGGAGTGGGGGCTGCGGGACGTCCCACGGGCCTCGGGCAGGTGGGGACGGGCTCGGCCCTCCCCGGAGCCTGTCCCCGGGGTGGGGGTGGGGGGTCGCGGTGAGCTGGGTGCTAGCCCGCGGTAGCAGGTGCCACTGCACTTTGGCGAGAGGCGAGGGACACCTTCGCCAGTCTCTTGGTTCATCTCCCAACTCGCCAGCTCACCGGGTCCCTTGCCTGGCTGGGGAAGTTGGACAGAGCCACTGCAGCCCCGCATCCTCATCGTCCTTCCCTCTCCCCTAGCTAGCTAAAGGAATATTTAGGTGATAGATGAACCAACAAGTACTCTGGACTTTGACATCATTGACATTAGTTTCTTTATCTATTGTGCTGAGTTCGGATTTGGGGTACTTACTGGAAGTTAACATTTTATTTGCTTCAGAACTAACAGCACGGTGGCACACGCCTTAAATCCCAGCCCTGGGGAGGCAGAGGTAGGAGGGTTTCTTAGTTCGAGGCCAACCTGGTCATAAGTGAGTTTCAGGGCTAATCCTGTCTTAATCCCCTCCCCCAGTAAACCCTAATTACTGGAAGTGACAGTTTAATGTAGAATTTAAAACGTGTGGCATTTGTGTTAATGGCCCGTTCCTGGGCCAATAGTTCTCCATGAACCATGCAACTAATTGCAGAGGCATATTGCATATGAAACACGTTTGCACTTAAAACAAAATCGATGTGCAGTTATGTGTTGGAAGTAATAAGCTGGGAATGGTGGTGCACTGCTCCGATACCCAGACTAATGGGCTGAGGCAAGAGGCCAGCCTGGGCTACGATGTGAGACCCTGTCTCAGACACTAAATAAGATAAATAGGAATGCTTTAAAAACAAAACATTGACATTTAGGAGCTGTAGATTTTGAGAGCGTCTTCCTGTCTGTAACTTTAACCCTGAGTAATATCCTGTCATCGAGTTGTGGGAAGTGAAAGATGGTATATGCAAATCCTCAGGCGGTTAATCAACCACACCATCAGAAAGACAAACACATCCTGAGGAAAGAATACATTTCCGAAGTGATGTCATACTGTAACCTTAGTGTCTGTGATGGGAGACAAGCCCCGGATCTTCTAATGAGACAGAGTATACAGCGGCACCTGGCATCCTTCTTGGTGTAAGCTGAGAGCCTGCGCAGTCAGATTTAGGAACCTGAGACCCTAGCCTAGGCCGTGTGTGTTCAGGTTCCAGCTAAGTTTGTGTGTTTTGTTCAGCTACCCACTTTGCCTATTTCTCCGGAAGGTATTACTGCACTTTGGTATAGAGCGCCCTCATTTCTCCCTGCCCAGAGTTCAGTAGGGCATTTTGCCATGAGTGCCAATGTACTGGGTGAAACATTCTCTTACCTTATCTGACCATAACACACTAGTGACTTTCAATTTTTTTAATGTTTTATTCTGCGAGAATTTCAGTACCTCTCTCAATCATCATTAGAGAGGCTTTCAAAAAATTTTTGACCGAGAATAGTAAGTAATTTTATCCATTCAGTTCATAGGTTTCTGTTTCTATGTGCGCTGGGGAATATTTTAAGGTTTGTGACTTTTGTTTATGCTGCAATAGTTCAACTCTGTGACTCTTTGCCTGTGTAAAACACCTGATGGTCCTAATAAAGAGCTGAACAGCCAATAGCCAGGCAGGAGTAAGAAGGCGTGGGGCTGCCAGGCAGAGAATATAAATAGGAGAACTGAGAAAGAGAAGGCGTAAGAGAACAAGGAGGGGAGGACATCAGGGGCTAGTCACCCAGCTACACAGCAAGCCACGGAGAAAGAAGTAAAGAAAGGTATACAGAAATATAGAAAGATAAAAACCCAGAGGCAAAAGGTAGTCAGGATAACATAAGTTAAGAAGAGCTGGCAAGAAGGAAGCTAAGGTCAGGCATTCATAACTACGAATACGCCTCTGTGTGTGATTTATTTGGGAGCTGGGCGGTGGGCCCCTCAAAAAAACAAAAGAATAAAACATTACACAACATGTGTGTTTATCCCCGCATTAGGAACAGGTTGCACAAAAGATTATTAATCCCTGCATACTGTGTAGTAGACGTTTTTTCAATCCTGTTGGACTTTGTAAAACTTGATTTTTTTTTTTTTAAGCTGGGTATGGTGGCACATACCTTTAATTCCAGAACTTGGAGGCAGGGATCTCTGAGTTTGAGGCCATCCTGATCTATAGATTGAGTTCCAGGACAGCCAGGGCTACACAGAGAAACGCTGTCTCAAAGAAACAAACACAAATAAGCAAATAAATAAATAACCTGCGCTAAAGTGACCCAGCTAGTTCAATGACTCTTATTCCTCAACATTATTTGCCATTTATAAAAATATTATTGACTTTTAAATTATGTTCTGTGTTTGTGCATGTGGGTGTGTCAGATCCCCATGGAATCACAGGTGTTGAGAATCAAATCTGAGCCATCTGCAAGAGCGGTAGGCGCTCATAACCACCAAGCCATCCCTCCAGCTCTTTAAAGATGGAGTCTTAAGTGCAGTCATGTGCAGTGTGAAAAGCCCTATTCAGAGGGATTTGTCATGGTCTGTAGTGCTTTACTCAGGATGTTTCAGAAGAGTCGGACAGAAGCTAAAACTTGAACATGTTGAGGAGAAGCCCCTAGAAGTTCAGCATGTTGTGAGGAAGTCATAGCAGAGTCGTTAGAATGTGGTGGGTGTGTTTTGTTTCTACACAGAATTCTCTCCTGTGTGTGAGCTCAGAGGCTGGTGGCTGATAATTTCCTCTATTACTTTCAATCTTGATTTTTAGACAGGGTGTCACACTGAGCCCAGAGCTCACAGATTGGTTAGACTAGCCTGTCTCACTCCATCATGCCCCCCCCCCCGACAGGTTCTGGCCCCCACCACCATGCCTGGCTTTCACCTAGGTGCTGGGATGTGAGTTCAGGTCCTCATGCTTGTGCAGCAGATATTTACCTCCAGAGCCGTCTCCTCAGGCTCGGCATAAAGAATGTGCTGTTTGAAACAGTTCTGCTTCACTGATGAGATTAAGGAAATTGGAAAACAATTGTTTTCAAGGCCTGATCATTTTTTTTCACTTTTAAAGATTCTTAATTATTTTGAATTTTTTAATATTTTTTATTTATTTTTTCAAACGATGTATTTTGATCATATTTTCCCTCTGTGATTGCTCCTAGATCCTCCCCATCTCCCTACCCATCCAACTTTGTTTTCTCTTTTCAAAAAACAGAAAAGCCCACCAAACCTCAAAATGAACAAACAAAAGACCAGTAAGACAAAACATAACAAGACAAAGCAAAACAGTTCACAAAAAAAAAAGCCGAGGAGTTGTGGGGCCTGCCCTGGAGTTGGGTTGATAGACCCAGTGACACTCCGTCGGAGAAAACAGATTTTTTTTCTCTTTGCCAGTTGGTATCAACTGCACATAGCTTCAAGGTCCACTCCCTCTCTTAGTGCTGGGAACCCGTCTGGCTTGAACCTATACAGGTCTTGTGTGCTGCCACGGTCTGTGAGTTTATATGTGTGTGCCTCAGTCTTGTGTGTGCTTGGAGTCGCCCATCCCTCTGGCTCCTTCAGTCTCTCCACCTCTGCCCAGATCCCTGAGCTCTGAGGAGATGAAGTCATCACTTAGGGCTCGGGTTCCAAGTCTGTACTCTGTAAACATTGTCCTGTTTAGTCTGTTACTTCCCATCTGCTCTCAGAAGTGGCTGCTCTGAGGTAAGCTGAATGAGGCGCTCATCGCCAAGAGCTTTGTGTGATAGCCTACATTTTTCATTTTGAGTTTTATTTTAGTCTGGGTTGTCATTAGTGATTCTACTTCTTTGTTCAGTTCTACTTTAATGTTCTGTGCTGTTTTCATATTCAGCTGTGTAGTAACAATCTTCTTCATTCAGACATTTACTACTTTAATATTCTGTGCTGTTTTCATATTCAGCTGTGTAGTAACAATCTTCTTCATTCAGACATTTACTACTTTAATATTCTGTGCTGTTTTCATATTCAGCTGTGTAGTAACAATCTTCTTCATTTTAAGACATTTACTCACGTCCTCTTTAAGGTCCTTGAACAGTTGCTATTTTCAAGTCTTTGTCTTGTGCTTCAACTAAATACCTTTTCTCAGGGCCTCTTGCAGGAGAGGTGGGCACAAAGGAGATGGGCTAGGAAGGATGGCTCAGAGATTCTTATTTTGTCCAGACTCAGAAGTAGAGGCTCTCAGCGAGGACAGCCTGCATGTCTTGGCAGTCTGTCCCTGATGTTATTCCTTGGCGTTCTTCATTCTCTTGTCCAAAAGCTTAGTGTATTCTGCAGCCTCATTTTTCCTAGTTATTGTTTCTTCAGAGCAGTTGGTGATTGTGTTCCAGGTAGAATGACAAGATGGCGAACCATGGGTGCTTCTCGCCTTCTTTGTTTAAGGGCTTTATGGCAGCTTTAGTGGACCTCATCTTCACAGGGCTTGAGAAGGCTGAGGGCTCTGCTAGCTCTTTGGGCCTCAACTGTCGCAGCACAGTAGGATCTGGCAGTCGGGGAATATCTCTCTCTCTCTCTCTCTCTCTCTCTCTCTCTCTCTCTCCAATATCCAAGTTGAGAACGTTCAAATTGGCATCCAGAATGCACCCCAAACAGACATGCGCTTTCTTGCTGCAGTTCTCCTCGGTCTATAGTAAGAATGCCCCTTGCTCAACAGCATGTCCACACTGATGAAGGTCAAGACAGCCTGCTTCATGAAGAGACCTCATTTGCCATCCCCACCACTGATCACACCTTATTACTCTTCCACTCTTTACTCAGGGCATCGGCAGTAACTTTCAGTTTGTTTTTGAGACAAGGAATCACTGTGTACCCGACTGGCCTGAAACTCACTATATAGAGCTTGCTGACTTCAGACTCTTAGAGATCTGCTGCCACATGCACGCCCTGCCTGAGCTGTCTGAGTTCTGAGTGGGATTGAACCATAGGTACCACCAGCCTCATATATCCAAAACTCACTTCTGCAATTCTTTTTCATGCTTTGTTCCCATCTCAGTGGTACTTGTCACCTAGCAGCTGTGGCTAAAAGCAATATAATCTGTCTCTACTCCTTCCTTTCTTCTTTCCCCTCCCTTCCTCCTTTTCTTTCTGCTTTGCTTTCTTCCATCTCTCCTTTCTTCCCCTACACCCTCCTTTCCCTTTTGTTTGTTTACTTACTCATTTCGTCATTCATTCTTTGAAACAGAGTCTTCAAATACGTTGCCCAGGCTGGTCTCAAAATCATGACATTCCTGTCTCAGACTCCCCACGATTACAGGCTTGTGTCACCTGGACTCGGTAATTGGAGTCACTTTTCAACTCCCTACTGATGCCATGAATGCACTTCCGGGACTTCCTGCTTCCCTCCACTGCTATGGCTCTTGGAAAGCCATCACTATTTTTGAATTGCTGTTACTGGTGGGAATTCCTACTTTATCTTGGACAATTCCAGTGGATTGTAATAGAACAGCCAGATAGATCTCTTTCAGCTTAAATCAGAGAGATACTACTTTCTCCCTAAAAATACACGAAGCTTCCAGGAGCCACAGGATTCACAGGCAAATTTCTCTGTGTGCCTGCTCCCACTCCTTCTGTAAACACTGTGCGCCGGTCAAGCGCAGTCCACACTGCTTCCCTGCGTAGACTATACTTCACTACTCGGTTTTACTGCTCATCTACCTGAGTTTCTTCCACATCACTTCACTGCTCACTTACTTCCGCACTTCACTGCTCACTTACTTCCGCGCCGAGGTCTTTCTTCACAGTCAAGTCTTTGTGCACTCTCTTTTAGGTTATAGTTCCTGCCCTTGGAACACTCCTTGTGCTCTTCTGAATTTTCCCACACTGCCCACAATTAATTTCTTCTAACTGTTGTCACTTCTAGAATGACAACTCAAAGCGCAGGAGGTTTTAGTATTGTATCTGGGCCTGGTGTCCATTTACTAAATACTTGTTGCAAATATGCTTTCAGAAAAGAGGCCACTTCTTTTTTTTTTTTTTTTTTTTTTTTTTTTTTTTTTTTTTTTTTGGTTTTTCGAGACAGGGTTTCTCTGTGGTTTTGGAGTCTGTCCTGGAACTAGCTCTTGTAGACCAGGCTGGTCTCGAACTCACAGAGATCCGCCTGCCTCTGCCTCCCGAGTGCTGGGATTAAAGGCGTGCGCCACCACGGCCCGGCCAAGAGGCCACTTCTTTAAAGGTGAGTTTGTCTTGTTGGGTTGGGGGATTCATCAGCAGGGCCTTACTGTATGAACCAGTCGTCTTCCCAGAGGGAAGGACCTTAAAATACTTCAAGATGGGAGCTAAAGCGCTGCTCATCGGTTGTTCACCTCTAATCCGTCCTGCTGTGTCGGTGCTCACTGGTTTATAAGAGGACATTGACTTCTTCCATACATACGCTGTGTAAATAGGAGCTGTGAGAGAAGATAGGCTAAAACGAGACGGCCATGAGGAGGACAGGAGGTGCTGAAGACGGCAGAGGTCGTGTGTAGCAAGAAGTGGAGAGGAATTTTTTTTTTTTTCATTTTATTTTTTTTGGTTTTTCGAGTCAGGGTTTCCCTGTGGTTTTGGAGCCTGTCCTGGAACTAGCTCTTGTAGACCTAGACCAGGCTGGTCTCGAACTCACAGAGATCCGCCTGCCTCTGCCTCCCGAGTGCTGGGATTAAAGGCGTGCGCCACCACCTAAGTGGAGAGGAATTGAGGAAGGAGGGCGTGAGGGAAGGGGAGGAATGGGAATAAGGAGGAAAGGAACAGCAAATTCTGTTCTGAAAAAACACAGAAATGAAACTTAATTCTTTGTAAGCTAAAAAACAAAATAAAAGCCTCCAAAACTAAAAAAAAAAAGAAATATATATAGTAATTGTGTGGAAAAGATTATCAGATAGTTTTCATCTAACTTTAATTATGCTTTGCATAACAATACAGATCTTGTAACTTGAATCTAGATGAGTTATTGTGGGTGGCACAAATATTAACCTAAGTGGCTCTGTTACCTTGAATGGTACCCTCTTCTCTCTTGTAATTATCTGTACTAAGAGGTAAAATGCATGTCATATTAATCTTTATCATAAGCAGTCATAGGTGAAATAGTGAGTTCCAAAGTTTGGTCCCTACTGCCATTAAGAAAATGCTTTTGCAACTCGGGCTTTTAGTTACTGATTTCCCTTTCCATTGATCGCCATGGCATCGGAACCTCTGTGCCCTCGGCTGGCTTTAAAGTGGTGACTTTTAGCTGCTGAGTTGGTTAATGAGTGATCAGAAGTAAGTTCAGGGCCAGGCCACACCGTGGCTCAGCAGTGCTTGCCTCCAGGCAGGACAGCCTGAGACCTACTCCTGACACACATCTGTAGGAGAGACCTGTCTGTCAATACACAATAAAACAATATAATACATTTTAAAAATGAGTTAGGTGAGGGGTTACAGAGATGGCTCAGCAGCTGAGAGCACTTGTTCTTGTAGAGGACTGGGGCTTGATTTCCAGCACCCACTTGGTGGTTCACAACCATTGTAACTCCAGTTCCAGGGGACCCAGTGCCTTCTGATCTCCACGGGCACCATGCACACACATGGTATACATACATATATGCAGGCAAAACACACATAAAATAAAATTAGTAAATCTAATAAAAACTTAAAAGTAAGTTTAGTGAGCCGGGCGGTGGTGGCACACGCCTTTAATCCCAGCACTTGGGAGGCAGAGGCAGGTGGATCTCTGTGAGTTCGAGACCAGCCTGGTCTACAGAGCTAGTTCCAGGACAGGCTCCAAAGCCACAGAGAAACCCTGTCTCGAAACCCCCCCCCAAAAAAAAAAGTAAGTTTAGTGAATAATGAAATGGCATATTTTTTCTAATAGATGTCACTAGCATGCTTAGAATATAGTAATAAATAGCATTTTCTAATTTTTTCTGTTATGTATATCTAGGTCTTTGCTCATTAAATAAATATACATCTTATATGAGACCACTATCACTAACTTTGAGATAAATACAAATGCATATTTTAATTTAGTATAAAAATTATAAAAACACTGGAGATAAGGTAAGAAGTGTTAGGAGATGATTTACACATTGTCATGATGCGAGGTGATTCATGCTGACAGCTTTTCAGGCTGTAGAATTATGTAGCGATTGGAATGTTAAAATGAAAGTTCTGGTTGTTCAAAGAGTCTTTGGCAGATCCATGATTGAGCTCAGAGTCTGAATGTTTACATGTTTTGGTGCTGGAGACTGAATCAAAGGCTGGCCTCAGGGATGCTGGGCAGCTGCTCTGTTACTGCACTGTGTCCCTGAACCAAGATTGATTTTAAAAAAGTATATGTGTGTTTCACCTGTATATATGTCAGCGCACCACTTTGGTGCCTGATACTGTGGAGGTCAGAAGAGGGTGTTGGTTCATCTGAAACTGAGGGTAACAGACACTTGAGAGCTGCAGAATGGGTCCTGGGAATTGAGCCTGGATCCTCTGAAGAATAGCCAGTGCTGTTAGCCACTGAGCCTTTTCTCCAGCCCTAGGTTTGAATTTATAATAAATAATCTAACTCAGGTAAATCTTATTTAGAAGTTCCTCTGGCCATACTTACTCTTTGTTACTTTTTAAAATTTTATTTATGTGTATGTGTGTGTTTGTGCTGATTATCTGTGTATGCACCACATGTATGCAGTTGCCCACAGGCCAGAAGCAGGCATTAGTTCCCTGCTACTGGAGTTACTGCTGGTTGTGAGCTGCCTGATGTAGGTGCTGGGAACAGACAAGTGCTCGTAACTGCTGAGCCTTCAGAGCAGCACAGTATTTGTTTTTGAGGAGTGTAGCGTACGGACAGGGACTTATGTGATTTCTGTTCACACTCCACGCTTAGATCCAAAGGCTCAATTATTTAATGCAGAGCTTGTCCTGCTTCCACCTCCTGAATATTGGAATTAGAGTTTTGTGCTCTACAACCTGGCCCACGTCTTTTTATAACTTTATTCTTGAAATAAAGTCGTAGTTTACTTATAAATACTTTAATGTCTTAAAGTTTCACTGGTACAAAATCACCATCAAAATAATGAGATTATTACTTTCAGCCAGGAGCGAATCAAGGTCCAGGTGTGGTGGCACATGCTTTAATACAGTATTTGGGAGCAGAGGCAGGAGGATCTCTGTGAGTTTGAGGCCAGCCTGGTCTACAGAGTGAGTTCCAGGATAGCCAGGGCCATGTGGACTCTGCCTCAAAAATGAATGAATGAATGAATAACTAAATAAGAGCAAGGTTTGACTTTATAGTGTAGGAGACAAAAATCTTACAGGATTAAGCCTGGGTTGCTTAGCATTTTCTATTAACACCTCCTCCCCTCCTTCACTTACTAATGCATCTTTACTGAATACTGGATATGGAGAGCTGTTGATTAACTTTGAAAACGATGCTTTTTGCAGCTTCGAGACTGTATCCAAAAGACCTTGAATGAGTGGAGTTCCCAAATCAGCCCCGATTTGATCCGGGTAAGTGGAATGTGAATGCAGAAATCTGCAGGCCTAAGCAGATGTGGTGTAAGCAGGAAGTTGACTTTCTCAGTTTGGTGAGTGAAGTCCAGTAGGCAGTTCGCCATAAAGCCAGCCCTTTGTGCTCTTCTGCTGAAGCGGCCATGGGGCCGAGCATCCAGCAGAAGTCTGGTCTACAGTTGCTTCCCCATTTGGTTTTTCTTGCTTAGTTCCTCACCCACCAGTGTCTCGGTCTAGTATAAGAATGACAGCCCACCTTGGCTGGTAGGTTTCTTTGGTAGAATGTCACCCCAATAATATAGCTAGGAACAACTTTTTTTTTCTGGGGCAGAGTTTCTCTGTGTGGCCTTTGCTGTCTTGGAACCTACTCTTTTTAAAGATTTATTTACTTATTATTTGTACAGTGTTCTGTCTGCATATATGCAAGTAGGCCAGAAGAGGACCTCAGATCTCATTATAAATGGTTGTGAGCCACCATGTGGTTGCTGGGAATTAAACTCAGGACCTTAGAGCAGGCAATGCTCTTACCATTGAGCCATCTCTCCAGCCCCTAGGAACAACTTTTTAAATGTCAGTTTCTCATGAAACAGTAAGGAACTATATTTCATTAAATGTACCTGGCCATTTCCAAAGAAGTTACCAGTCCCGGTAAGTATCTACATCTGCTCTAAAATCCAGCTGAGACAAAGACTTGTGTTTAGTCATGCACTAGTTGGAAGCATGGAAGAGCAACCAGGCACATGTCTATGACTCCAGTCCTTGAGAAACTCAATTCAAGAGAATTGAGTTTGAAGCCAGTGTGGGCTATAGCAAAACTGTTTTAAACTAAGAATATATATAGTGGTTCCTTTTGGACATTCTTTTTTTTTAACCATCTAAGTGCTGTACAGAAATGGTTAATGTCTATTTATCTGAAATAACCATTGCTATCTGTGTCTGTCTTTGTCAGTGCTTTGTACTGATTTGTAATGGATATCATAATGTATGCAGGAGCCACAAGGAAGGCATTATTTGTTTTGTTAAATCTTAAGCAGTATGTTTTTAACTGATAGATGCTATCTTTTTATTGTTATCTTAATAGATCATTCATTGTAATGTATTGGAGTGGTCCTTGCCGTTTAAAAAATTATACTGAAGGAGACTGTAAACAGAAACTGTTCTTTCCTTTTGCAGCCACCCAGACCCGAATAATCACACAAAAACTATATTCATTGCAATACTGTTTGACCAATGGCTCAACCGTATTCCTAGATAGCTCTTAATCTGTGTATTGCCAGTAGGCTGTGGCTTACTGGTGCGGGCATGTTACTCCTTCGGTGGTTACATGGTGTCTCTCTGACTCTACCTTCTTTCTCCCTGCATTCAGTTTAGTTTTCCCGCCTACCTACATTCTGCCCTGCCATAGGCCAAAAAAGTTTCTTTATTAACCAATGGTAATAAAACATATTCACAGCAAACATAGGGGAATCCCATATCAGAAAATAACTATTTTAACTTAAAATATTTGCAGTTACAAAACTGAATATACTATTGTCCTACAGTCTTATGCTTTGGTATCTGCCCAAAGGACTTGAATATTTATGCTTACAAAATCCCATGCATGGATGTTTGTGCCAGCTTTATTAGCAGTTGATAACAGTTTGAAGTAGCTTAGATGTTCTTCAGTAGACAAATGGAGATACACAGTGTGGTGCATCCCGGCAGTGATACATTACTGAGTCCTGAAAAGACATGAAGGAACCTGACGTGCAGTCACTCTGGGAAGGCTACATACTCAGTGATTGCAGGTGATGCACTTGGATGGGACTGTTGACAGTGGGGGAGGCAGAGTATGTGTAGAAGTAGGAGGTGAATGAGAACTCTCCGTTCTTCCTGTTCAGCATTGCTATGAACCCGCAGTTGCTCTTAAAAAATCTATTGAAGGAAAAGCAGCTAAGTTACCTTAACAGGTTAAAGCTTGATGACTTAGAAGTCCAAAAGAATGTTAATATGGTTTATTCGTTTAAATTGGTGTGGTGATTTGAATGAGCATGCCCCCCCCCCCATAGGCTCTTATGTTTGCTGGGAAGGATTAGGTTTGGCCTTGTTGGATGAGGTGTGTTCACTGGGGAGTGGGCTTTGACCTTCAGAATCCCATACTAGGCCTAGTCTGTCTGTCTGTCTGTCTGTCTCTCTCTCTCTCTAATTATAGGGCTCACCGCCGAAGCCTATAGGTACATGCATGGGAGCAGAAGGCATTGTAACCAGAGTAGAAACCATATACATTTGGGAAACGTCTTCATGTAACTTACTTGTGCTATGAGGACCTGCTCGAGCCTGATGATGTATATACACACTTCCATTTGATAGTAGATTGATGCTGTGCACTTCCTACTTTATAGCTTGGTGGTTCTGATAATACTTAGCTCATGATGGGCACTCAGATCTCATGGTAACTTGGTTACCCATTGTAAAACAGTCTGTTACCACTAAGGCTCAGGAGCTGTCTTTTCAAAAGGAGAACAGTTGTCTGAAGATGATGGCAGAGCCTTGCTCTAAAATCCCAAAGGTCTCTTCTTTGATTCACCTATAGGGGCCTGCCAAAGGCCCCAAACAGCATCTCTATCTGCCACTGACACAAATACCATAGGGTCTGCTGGGTCATGTGGTCCAAGTGATAGAGCAGCCTGGACCCTCTGGGGAGCCTTCCCCTGTTACAGCCCCCCCCCCCCCACAAAGCCAGCAGCTTTCTTTGTCACTTGGTACTAGGGCCAAAGTCACACACCCAAGTGAGGAATTTGCTGTCTCTAGAATCCAGATAAGCCCACCAACTGCTGTGCTTCTTTCTTGGTGGTGGGAGGGGCCGGGTGCAATGCTTCCCCTTCCCCTTAGAAGGGGCGTCTCTGCAGGGTCTACACCACAGGACTCCTAAGAATTTGACTGAGGTAGAAGACCCTTGAATTTTGGTTGGTTTTATTTCCCATCTTCTGATATACATAGGTGCTTCCAAGTTCCAAGTGTTTGCTGCCTCCCGCTCACCTGGTCCAGTCAGCATAATATCATCAATGTAGTAGACCAGTCTGATGTTTTGTGTGAGAGAGATCAGGATTCCTTCTAACTAAGTTATGCAGAGGACTGGAGAGTTGGATTTGTAAAGGTATACTGTCAACTGAAAGCACATGCTCCTGGTGGTTCTTGCAGACAGCTACTGAGAAAAGGCATTTGCTGGATCCATACCTGCACATCACTAGGAGATGTGTCAGTCCGCTCAAGTAAGGCTACCGAACCTTTGCATTAGGAGGTGTGGCCTTGTTGGATGAGGTGTGTCACTGGGAGTGGGCATGGAGGTTTCACAGGCCCATGCCAGGCACAGTCTCTTGCTCTGCCTGCTGCCTGTGGATCAGGATGTAAAGCTCTCAGCTACTGCTCCAGTGCCATGCCTGCCAGCTTCCTGCCATGATAGCCATGGATTACCTCTCTAAAACCGTAAGCAGCCCCCAATTAAATGCTTTCTCTTGGTCACGGTGTCTCTTCACAGCAATAGAATAGCAACTAAGACACTTTGTATATCAAAGATTTTTAAAAGATTTTAACATGCCATTATTCAAAATAGGTAATTTTCATTGATTTTAAAGTAAAATTTTCTTCTTACACCTCACATAACACTCTTCTGTTTGTTTGCTTTTTTAATTTTTGGAATACCTGGTCAAAATGAGACTTTTTCTACAGAAAATAGAAATTCTCTCTCTCAACATCTGCACTTTATGCTTAGAAAGTTCATTAGACGTCAAAAAGATCTTTGCGTCTGAAATGCTTAGGACAATCAGAGACTTTACCACCAGTAGGACTAACTTTATGTCCATTGAACTTTGTGTTTCCTGCAGGAGTTTCCAGATGTCTTGGAATGCACCGTGTCCCACGCAGTTGAGAAGATAAACCCCGATGAAAGAGAAGAAATGAAAGTGTCTGGTAAGCGCCCCCTTTACCGGTCACTCTCCCGTGCTGTGAACTGAGGGACATGAGAGTGAATCCTTCCTCCTGACAGCCAGGGGTCGGTCATTAGTGAGGAAACCAGACGAAGGCCAGTCTAATGTCAGCTCTGAGGAGTGGGTTATAGGAAGTCAGAGCTGAGGACCATGGAGTGCTGATGTTTCCATTTCTTGTGATTTATGTGTACTCAGCAGTGGAAAGGTTCAAGTAGAAAATGGAAAGGATGGTTAGGAACAGCGTCTGCAGAGCGAACAGATCTCCCCTTCCTGGGTGCTGGTGAGCAGTGCAGACGCTGCCTGGAGTCCAGAAGGAAATCTGGGCAGCCAGCTCTGTGGGGAGAGTGATGTATGCGTACATCCAAAAGTGTCCGTGCCTGCTGAGTCAGTGGTGGGAAGCTAACACTTTCTGCCCTCAGCTTACAGGCAGCGTAGCAGAGCTCAGTAACTCCTGAGCTTGCCTAGATTCAAGTTCCTGGGTGTGTAGGTTACTGACTAGAATAGTCTAGGGTTAGCAAGTGTTCAGCCTCTCTGAGCCTCAGTTTGTTTATCTCTACAATGGGATTCAATTGTTTTACAGGCTTCTTTATAGTATGGATGAAAGAACAAAAGAGGCTCATAGCTAGCGCAGTGCTTGCCACAAAGTAGTAAAGAATAACTGTTATTACTAACATTGACAGGAACACGTATGACGGGATTATAAAATAGGAATGGCCTTTTCGTTCCAATCATAATACCATCTGTGGAGTCTTACTTTATGCTAAGCACTGAACTGTCCCTTTATGATTATATTTCCTCATATTTATTGAAACAAACCTATCAGGACTATTATCCCCATCACACCAGTAACATTAATTAGCATGAAAGTTAGCACATAACAATAGTTCCAGTTACTTGGGAGGCTGATGCGGGGATTAGGAGTTTTATCCAGCCTAGCAACATAATGAGACCCCACCAGTTAAGAAAGAAAAAGAAAGCTGTCTTTCAGCCAGTGAGTTGATGAACCAGCAGGCTATGAAGGCGTGCCTGTCTCTGAAACCTGTCTCTTCTGTTACCTTCACATCACTGCTTGTGTAGGAAATGAAGTAAAGCCAACATTCCTGTGTGATTGCCTGTATGTAGCTCATTACTGTCTTGAGCCTTCTCCAGGTTGTCCTCCATTTCTGTAGGGTTTGAGAATCTTGATAGGTAATAAAATTCTTACCGTAAGAGAAGCTTGCCTCTTTCTATCTCAGTGTACCCTACCTTCCAGAGAGAGAGAGAAAGCCATTCCAGATGGTGAAATATAGGGACCAAGAATTAGTAATGGGGGGATTTTCTTTGTTGCAAGAGGAGGAGGATAAGACCTAGGGCCTTACACATGTGAGACAAATGCATTACCATCAAGCTGAACCTCAACCAGGGAAAGTTTTTCAGCATGTATCATGGACTCTAACGCTGGACTTCTCTGCTAAGGGAGCTCCAATGGCTGCTTGCCAGGAGAAGCAGCAGGACCTAGATATTTTAGGAAGATCTGGTAGTAGAAAAGAGGGGACAGATAAACAAGTACACAAGGACACTTGTTGCATATGTTGAACGCTAGTCACTGTTTAAGTGCTGTAGTAGTTTGAATGTAATTTGCCCCATAAGCTCATAGGGAGTGGCACCATTAAGAGATGTGGCTTTATTGGAGTAGGTATGGCCTTGTCAGAGCAAGTGTGGCACTGTGGAGGTGGGCTTTGAGGTCTCAGACATGCTCAAGCCATGGGAGTGCACAGTAGGATGCGGACACATAAGTAATAATGAGGTGTGGATACATGGGGTGATCGACTTTTTCTTTGTTACCCAGCAAAGCTGTTCATTGTAGGATCAAATTCTTCATCATCAACTAGAAGTGCTGTTGACATGGGTAAGCAAAAATTTATCCCTCTCATAAAAATGGACTTTAATTATTTTAATCTAGATAAAGAAGATAAGATGATTTCAATTTTACCATTTAAACTTCTAGCCAAGCTTTAAAGACTTGCATAGGACTAATTTTTAATTACATACAGTGATATTTGATAGAAGTGTAAAAGATGTATTAATGTTCTCTGCTTGAGGATGAAATTTCTTTGTAATCATTATTAGGCCTTTAAATATTATACTATAGATAAAATACTAAAATCAGAGACAACAGAGTACAAATACTGTGGATTCATTTCCAGCACCTGGTTAGATAAAAGTAAAGAAGGAAAACTACAAGGAAGAGGGCAGGTCAGAGACTTCTTGTCTGCTGCACAGAGAAGTAGGTGAATGGGCACTTAGAGACCTGTTGTAAATGACAGGTAAATTATGCAATAATCTACTGTACAGAAAACTAGTTCATGACATGGAATTCAGTGGACTTTGCTGAAGACGGTAATACTTGTTTCTAGCCTGTAACACACAGTTGTCCTTTCCATGTCTTCCTTCCCGTCAGCGTGCTCAGTCCTTGGAGTTGCGCAGCTGGACTCTGTCATCATTGCTTCGCCTCCCATTGAAGATGGAGTGAACCTTTCCTTGGAGCATCTGCAGCCTTACTGGGAGGAGCTAGAAAACTTAGTGCAGAGCAAGAAAATTGTTGCTATCGGCACCTCTGACCTCGACAAAACACAGCTGGAGCAGCTGTACCAGTGGGCACAGGTAGAGGGCGTCTGCATGTCAACACCTGCTACAGCTGTGGAGCAGCATGCATTAGTGCATGTTCACTGTGGCTGACTCTACACGTGGGAGCTCGGAGACGGGCTTTATCTAAGGCAGTAGGAGCTTAGGTTTGGAGTTGGGTATGTCTTGTTGAACTGAGTATTCATCCTGCTTAAAATGAAAGAAGGAAACACTAAATGCTAAGTGTTCAGAGCAAGTGAATTAAAACCATTCAGTCAGTTTTACATGTGCTGAAAATATTACACTGTGGGCATTATGGCTCTGATTTCTTAGGTAAGGAAATAAATGTAACAATATTTTCCTATTAAGTAAGAGGTATTAGACTTAGTCTATAGAACCTGATGTGGAGAAGAAATCATAAAGCCATCTCTCCACTCTGTGAACCTACAAAGTTATGAGGGAGGTTACCCACACCCTACGTTTATTTCCTATATCTTGTCTCTATTTCTTTTATTTCATTCTTAGCTGCTTCCTCAGAGTTGATGACAAGCAGGATGATTGCATTGTTCCTTCTCTTGTTGACTTGGTAGCAGTATGTGGCCAAGATACAGCTGGGGACTAAGTGATCTAGGAAGGATATAACAGCTAGCCAGTACAGCTGCTGGAAGTTAGGAGTTTCCTTAAATGCCTGAGTAGTAGCCATAGTAGCCACAGTTTATATCTTGAGATTCAGTGTCTACCTTGAAGATAGATTCCCTGTTGCTAAAACCATTACACTTAGAATCACTGCTTCAGAGTCAGATGTACTGGACTATTAATTATTCCAGCAGGCTTTAATTTGAATCTTACTGGTAAGTATAATTATGTATTGGTTTTTCCCTCAACCTGTTTTCCTCATTATCACTAACATGGATTAGGAATGCATATATTAATACAGATAGTCATGCAAAAGTATTCTATTAGTGAAGAATTGTCAAATATGGTTTTATGTTCTAAAATTTATTGCTTTCTTTTTTAAAAAGTGAAGGCTAGGGGCTGGAGAGATGGCTCAGAGGTTAAGAGCATTGCCTGCTCTTCCAAAGGTCCTGAGTTCAATTCCCAGCAACCACATGGTGGCTCACAACCATCTGTAATGAGGTCTGGTGCCCTCTTCTGGCCTGCAGGCATACACACAGACAGAATATTGTATACATAATAAATAAATAAATATTTAAAAAAAAAAAGTGAAGGCTAGGGAAGTGACTTAGTTAGGTACTTGCTATATTAGCATGAGGACCTAAGTTCAATTCCTAGCACCCCAAAAAAGCACACATTAAAAATATCTGTTGAGGTAACATCTACCTGTGATACCAGCTCCTGGAGAAGGCAGAGACAGGAAGATTCCCTGGAGATCGATGGATGGCTAGCCAGTCTGGCTGAACTAGTGAGCTCCAGGTTCAATGAGAGACCCTGTCTCCAAAAATATGGAGGAGAGTGACTGAGGAAATTGCCTGATACTAACTTCTGACTTCCACATGCACCATTCTACACATATGTGCAGACGAAGACACAAAATTGTGTAACTAAGCATGCAAAGCAATAGGCTAGCATGATAGTATTTTCATATATATATGTCAGTATACTAAGTTCTAATTAATTCCCCTCTCACCATACTTCGTTGGGGGGCTCCTTCCTTTCCTCCTCCCTGAAGTCCATTCTTCTCTTTCACCCTGTCAAGAGCTCTCCCTCCGCTTTCTAAGTAATGCCCTAGACTCATAGACAGGTGTCTACAGAGCCTGACATGAGGGAACGTGCAGGGGACTCTTCTGCGCCCAGCCTACTTCAGTCACGTGATTGCTTCTGGTTATTGCCCAGCCAGTGTCACAGTTTCCTTTCCTCTCTGGTGACTGGAACTCATGGTGTTTGTGGATCATGTTTTCTGTATGCATTCTGTTGATGGACATATAGACTGGTTCTGTTTCTTAGCTACTGTGAATATTAGTTTTCTGCTTTCTGTGTTCTATATGACATAATTTAATACAGTTCATTTTATTTCCACTTTTAGGTAAAGCCAAATAGTAATCAAGTTAATCTTGCCTCCTGCTGTGTGATGCCACCAGATTTAACGGCATTTGCTAAACAGTTTGACATACAGCTACTGACTCATAATGACCCAAAAGGTAAGCCTGATGTTTTCTCTTATGGAGGACAAAAGCTGTTTGTTTGGGGGCTGGGGGTTCAGGCCAATGATGGAATGCTTGCCTAGAATGCACACAGCCTGGGTTTGATCCCAACATTGTGCACACAAATTTTAGGAACACAAAAAGAAAACAAATGTTGAAATCTTAAGTGTGTGCTATGATAAGTGTACAGTGTTGTTAAATGTAAATATTATTGTTAATTTAAAACATACAGCGTTAGTTTTGTCTCTGCAGTGGTGGAGTTGTAAATCAATTGGCAGGATCCTATGCAAGAGCATGGGAATGAACTAAACCATTTCTCTAGACACCACTTGTTTTTTCTTTTTTTTCCTAAGCAATGGGAGTAATGCTCTGATGAATGTACTTAGATATTGTGCTGTGGCCAAAGCAAAAGTTCAGAGTAAAACTGATTTCTTTTTGCCAGTGCTGAAGACTATGTTATGATATATACCAGATATACTAATGGGGAGTTAAATTCTTCTGTAGTTACACCTTTTTGTGCTTGTGTTATTATTTTCCCATGTAATTAAATATAATATTGTGCGAATCATCCTCTCTCTCTCTCTATCTCTCTCTGTGTGTGTGTGTGTGTGTGTGTGTGTGTGTGTGTAGATGAGCACATACTAGAAAAAATCTGATGAAATATACAGTAATAGAAATGCTATTAATAGGGTTAGGAATGATTTTTTTCCCTTTGGACTCTCTTGTATTTTCCCTGGTTGTACATTAGAATCTCCTGGAGATCTTCAAAAATTGCAGACTCCAGACTCCCTAACCAAAAGTTATGAACTAAAGAGACTGGGGTGCAGGGATGCGTTTTAAAAGAACTGATGGCATTTAATATTGTAGTTCAGCTTAGAGGATACGTGTATTTTATATTCAGTTTTGTTGTTCATCTTTTGAGACAGGGTCTCCTGCAGCCATGCTGGCCTGGAGGCCACTATATAGCCAAGAATGACCTGAACTTCTGATCCTCCTGCCTCCACCCTCAAGTGCTTAGTTTCAGCTCTGTGCCATCAGAGCTGGTTTATGTGGGTGGGGCAAACAATACCAGGTGCACTCTTGGCAAGCACGCTGCCAGCAGCTAACTTTCTGACCCTGTACTCAGTTTTGTTGTTGAAATGCTTACTTACATAGTCAAGAGCTTTTGTCTTCAGACCTGACTTGTTGGGATTGCTGTTTTAGAACTGCTTTCTGAGGCGAGTTTCCAAGAAGCTCTTCAGGAAAGCATCCCCGACATCGAAGCCCAGGAGTGGGTGCCATTGTGGCTGCTGAGATATTCCGTCATTGTGAAAAGCAGAGGAATTATCAAGTCAAAAGGCTACATTTTGCAAGCCAAAAGAAGGGGTTCTTAACTACAACTCAAGCTCAAAACTTATTGACCTGTATTTATCTCAGACATAAGATAAAAAATTCGTAAGAGAAAATTGAGATGTGTAAAAAAATCTAGCTCTTGCCTATAACAGGTGTCGTTGAGGCATTATCTTCAGTTGTCTGGCAGTGTGTTGTCAAGGTTTGAATACTTCTGCCTTTGCCTCAGCACTCACGGGAACCACTGTATTGTTTTCATTAAACTATTGTTTTCTAACTGAAATTGTCTATAAAGAAAAGTACTTGCAATATATTTCCTTTATTTTTATGAGTAATAGAAATCAAGAAAATTTGTTTTTAGATATATTTTGGCTTGGGCATCAGGGTGATATATACATATTTTTTATTTCCAAGATTCATTAATTGCTTCTTACTCTATACTCTATAACTAAGCAATTAAATTACAGTTGTTAAACAAGATACTGGAAGATATTTTTTCCTGTCATTGGCAAAATAATCTATCTCAGAGTAACTACAGCAGCTGCGATCTACTAGTAATGTAAATAAAATTCATTCTTTGATCCATGAGTGGAAACTTAATCTGTGTGTTCTTACTAACTGGGATTTGACCATGTGCTCTGTGTCATGTTCTTTTCACCTATTATTTACAAAGGCAAGCCAAAGTGGATCTGAGAAAGAGGCTGATGCTTTGGCAGTATTGTTGGGGGTTTAGAAAAAGAACCACTGTCGTCTTCAGGTTCTTTGGGGCTCTCAGTGCATTCTTGCTGTGTTGCTGCGCATTCAAGAACGTTCTCTGGGTCCATTGTGCTTGACACTGTGGCCCTGGAGAGACTATGAGAGTCAGCTAAATAAGATGTGTGGTCTCTACCTATTACTGACGAGGAGAGAATAAAGCCAGGAAAGACTGAGGGGAGTCATTCAGTTTAATTTTATACTAGTGTAAAAACTGAAAGTTTGCAAAGAAGCCATGCTGCTTACCTGTAACACACCAAAGGGTCTTAGGCTGCAAATCTGTGCTTGTTACCCAGTCTTGGTTTTTCTTTAAAAGAGATCTTGTATGTCAGTATTCTTAAACATAGGCCTTGTAAAACATTTTGCTCAGAGATTTTCAACTTAAAACTATTATCTATGTTAAGTCAACACAGTAGACCTTTATCCTACGTAAGTCTTTATGGTAACTGGATGACTTTCTCAATTAGAATTATGTGAAACCAACTGAGTTGCCTGCTAAAACTTAAATAGAATTCAAACTAAAAGCCTATAACTACACTGATTGTACATAATGCTAAATATATAGGTAACTTAAATTTGGAAATATATGTGTTTTCATATGGCATAAATCACATTTATAATGTTGTAAGCAGAGGCTGCTCTTTTGTTCCCAGCTGCCCAGACCCAAATAATCACACAGAACTGTATTAATTACAACACTGTTTGGTCAATAACTTAGGCGTATTCCTAGCTAACTCTTATATCTTAAGTTAACCCATTTCTATTAATATGTGTATTATCACAAGGCTGTGGCCTATCACTAAGGTTCTGGCATCTGTCTCCTTCAGCAGCTACATGGCGACTCCCTGACTCTGCCTACTCTCTATATATCTCTGTTTATATTTCCTGCCTGGCTTTACTCTGCTAAGCCATTGGCCCAAACAGCTTTATTCATCAACCAATAAAAGCAACATATATACAGAAGGACATCTCACAACATGTTGTATTTTAAGTCTGTGCAGTGAGTTGGCCGAACTACTCTGAGGGGAACTTGGTATCACCTTTATTGTTTTTAAAACCTAGATTTTTGAAGAGTTTGACAATGTGAGAAACCTTTCTTTGCTGATGTATCCAGATGTTAGCCAGAGCTTGTTTGTGCTCTTCTGTTCTACTCCCAACAGGAAATAAAGCACAAATTATGGGTTCACTTTGTGAAGGGATCATGTGCAGAAGAAAATATTCATGGATGGAATTGTTACGTGATTCCATTGTTCTTTTGTACCAGGTTTTTCTTTTGGTTCACCAGCCAGCTCCCAAATCATGACCTGGAGACTTACTACTAGTTTTGAATGCTCAGCCTAGCTTAGGCACATTTTGGCTAGCTATTTTAACTTAAATTAACCTGTTTCTCTTTATATACCTTTTTGCCTCGTGGCTTATTACCTTGCTTCTGTATATCTTATTTTCTCTATTTCTGACTGGCATCTGCCTGACTTCGTTCCTTGGGCATGCCCCTTGTTCTCTCCTCTTTTCATTCTTCCTCTTGAGCCTAGATTTCTCCTCCTATTTATTCTGTCTCCCTGCCAGCCCCGCCTGTCCTTTCTCCTTCCTGGCTATTGGTCATTCACCTTTTTATTAGACCAGTCAGGTGCCTTAGGCAGGCAAGATGAAACAAAAGCAATACATCTTTAAATAATTAAACAAATGCAGCATAATCAAAGGAACACACCTTTATGCAGTTAAAGTAATATTCCACAGCATAAACATATGTAACACATCTTTGCCCAGTTAAAATATTCCACAACATTCATTTACTCCAAATCCTTAAGTTATTGGATAACCTTTAAAAATGAGTCTTCTGGGGGCTGAAGAGATGGCTCAGTGGCTAAGAGCATGTGCTGCTATTGCAGAAGATCCAGGTTCAGGTTCCAGCACCAACAAGGTGACTCACAAACACCTGTAACCCCAATTTCAGGAGATCCAGTGTTCTTTTCTGACCTGGAGGCACCAGTCACACACATGGTACACACAAATCTCAAAAATACTCCCCAAATAGCCGCTAAAAATGAAAAGCTGTTATCAGTAGTGTGTACAGATATATTTGAATGCAGCAACCCAAGGTAGAGAGATTTTGCATGTAATTTCTTATAAAGTAAATACAAAGATTTTTAGCTTATTACATTTCCAAAATCAACAGGCACCCTTTTCAGCAGCAGTCTTTTACGTGGGGTTTATTCCATGAGATTACCTTAAATTTCCATCCAGGAGACTCTAGACACTGAAGAACCAAGGTCTCTTATAAGTTAGATTAATGTGCTATATATTCTAAATACCCTTTTCTGTTTTTTTGAGACAGTGTCTTTGTAGTCCTGGTTGTCCTGGGGCTTGCTAAATAGGCCAGGTTGGTCTCGAACTCAAAAGAGATTTGCCTGCCTCTGCTTCTCCGAAGTGCTGGGACTAAAGGTGCCATCATGCCCTGCCGCTGAAGACCATATAGATGCTAGAATACTGATACAAGCCGGGCGGTGGTGGCGCACGCCTTTAATCCCAGCACTCGGGAGGCAGAGGCAGGTGGATCTCTGGGAGTTTGAGGCCAGCCTGGTCTACAAGAGCTAGTTCCAGGACAGGCACCAAAGCTACAGAGAAACCCTGTCTTGAAAAACAAAAAAACAAAAACAAAAAAAAGATAGAATACTGATACAGTATCCTTTTAAAGGGACCATTGATGGAACATGAGTTACAAGTAATAGAGTTTCAGTTCTGAAGAATGGTCATCTGGACATGTGAGCTGTATGCTTTGTTTTGGTTGTGTCAATGGTGGGACCATTTTGGACCTAAAGCATTGAACTATTTGAATTTAAAGTGTGATTTGATAATTATTTAAAAATATATAAATGTAAGATGAAAACCTAAGTTATTCTGTATTGCACAAGCAGTTCAGGTTTTCTGTGAAAACCATAAAGCTATTTTGTCTATTTCGCATGAATAGATCCTACTTTCCTATACCAGGACCAAGCAGTAATCAAAATTAGGATCTTGCTTTTGAGGGACAAAAGTTGTAAGGCTCATCTTAATTATGTCTAAGTGTTTCCTCCTAGGTCATCCAGCAAGTACTCTGATCTCTGAGGTGTAAGCACCCAGTCACTGGTGTATGTGGGCAGCTGGCAGCTCATCCTTCTGCCAGATGTGTGGAGAGAGAATGGTGAAGTTTTTCAAAGAATTTAAATCACTTGTGCAGTCTGTTCTTATACTCAAGCACACCAGCTTTTGATTCTAAACCTATTTTTCCAACCCTAATGTCCAGTGTTCCAAAATTAATTACCTCTCTTTTCATCATAAAATTGATGAAGGAATATGTCAGAATTTGACTTTTTGCAAAAATATGTAACAATATTTTTATAGTTTTTGGATCAAATGAAACAGAAAATGGAAATAACTAGTATGCACCTGTAGTGTACTAAAGCAAATATAAGGCATTGTTAAAGATAATTTTTATTTTGCTTATATTAATGTGAGTTTTGTTTTTTACTTGAGTTGTTTGAAAATGGGAACATCTGAAAACATCACATTGATTTTTGAACCATTTGAATTCCAATAGTATGATTTCAAAATAAATTGTGAATTACTTGACAAAGACCTAAACCATAAAGCTATTCATTCACTCAGCAGAGATGTATGCTGTGTGCTACACCAGATGCTACAGATGGACACAGATAAACAATCTCACCTATAAAGAGCTTACAATATATTCCCAGGGAGGCAATCAGGCAATGAAGAAGAGAAAGAGCTGTCTTGGTTGGCAGAGAATCGGGGACAAGGTTGGGGAATGTGGAAGAAAGTGGCTGTGGGTAGAGGGTCAGAATAAGAAAGACATAACTAAAGGAATTAACTTGGAGGGTCAGGTCGAAACAAAGTGTGCTTAGCATTGTGGGCAGATCTTTCTCTGCCTGATTTGTAAATATTTTATCAAATGGCATGAGTTTGGGTCCCCAGCATGGCTGTGGCCTGGTAATGCCAGCACTGGGAGCATCCATCAGCTCCACCAATCAGCAAGCTCTGGCACACTCAGGTCTATCTCAGATAAGGTGGAATGTATGTACTAGAGAAAGTTACCTGGTGAAGTAGATGTCTGGGCTTGTGAGCACACAAGTACAGAAACCCCCAGTCACATATACAAAAGACTTGTTGTGCTCTGGTCTGTGAATGCATGTGTATTGGAAAAGTCACATTGTATAAAAGAGAATAAAGCTTGTCACCGCCTCCCCTCCAGTTAGTGTATGGTTATATATCCATTGCCAGAAAATTAAAACAATGTGTTTTTCATATTTCATGTATTTCATATATGGATTCGGTATGTCCAACTCTCATCATTTTAAGATGGCCCATGTCTTATTACTTTGAGTCAGCTCTTTTCCCTGTCTTTGCTCAGTCCTGATTCCTGTATTATACTCATCAGATTCACCTTTTCTCTTATATCCTTAGTAATTTTCACCAACATCTTTGTCTTAAAGACCCTGCAAAGGGTCATATATTGGCTGCCTGGCCTTTGACCAGCAGTGCTGCAGGGACTTGGGAGGAACTTTAGGGAGGTGGGGCCTGGCAGAAGTTAGGTCATTGGAATTCTTGAAAAGGGAAGAGGGCCCTGCCCCTCCACTCTATGCAGCTCAGCCACCATGTGGTGAACAACTTTGCTGTCACATAGTGTCCACCATATTTCTGTCCTGCCTTCAGTCTAAAAGGACAGAGAAAAGAGACATGGACTGCAACCTCTGAACTGAGCCCAAATAAATCTCTGAAGTTGTTTAAGCCAGAAATTTTGACATAGCAACAGACAGCCGACTAGCACATGCAGTAAA